AGATTGAATAAAGCAAATGGTGACTGTGCCCTTTGTGACAAATCTTCTCTGCGCGTGGATCCACTCCTCCTCCTTCTCCTTCTCCCAAATTGTCCTTTGTCCCTTCTACCCAGTCAAGATCCAACAAGAGTCTATAGCATTCCTGGAGCAAGAAACCTTTCCCTGGTAGAAACAAGGTGAGTGGGATGATTCTAAATCCAGGAATCGCTTTTGTAGATGATCCATTCTGGATAGATATTTAATGCAAAGGAAAGGTGTAAAGTTTCCCTAGAAGATTCCAAACCAAAGCCTTTGTTCTTTAGTCAATTTACATTTCTCTTCCTCATTGTTCTCAGTTTTTAATTTTAAAGAATACTTTTCTCTTTGAGTGATGCAGAAGTAACAGCAAAAGACAGAATTAGTTTTACTATAATGTTGACGTCTACTTTTAAATTGCTTGCTTGATTCTAAAATCCTGCACCAACTAATAGAAAAATGGAAACTCCAAGATCTCTGAAAGTTTAGCATATGGCTCCTTGAAGAACCACTTTGTTTGATGTACATCACATCAAGCTTTTGAGGGTAGACCAAATTAGATCCTAAGTGTGTTTGTGATGATCCAAGAAAGACACAGTGGGGTAAGTTGGAAATTAATCCTAATGTCTAAGGACTGTGTGCCTGGTTTATCTTTATGGCAACTCAGTACCCTGATGAGTGGGGAAGAATATGGAACTTGTGAAAACCAGGTCTGTAAAGTGCCTGGGCTAAGTGAAACCTCACATCAATTCAGGAGTTATTTTGAATGGAAATCACCCAAAGGCTTCTGCAGCCAGACTAGGAAGAGAACAAAGTGTAAAACAGAGAAGGATGTAGCTCTGTTTAGTTGGTCTGTATGATGTGATATGAAAGTTTGTCCTTTATGTGGTTCATGAGTGCAGAGAAGCTATAAGCTTCCCCCTGTCCCCAAACAAACTCTATGGTGGAAACTGATCATAAACTTGCAAAACATTTGGGCAAGTGTTGGGATTTTTCCTTTCCTGCAATATGGGCTATTGGTGGATGATAGAATTTCTCAGGGAAAAGGAAATTTATCTGTCCATTGAATCGATTATTATGGAAAAACAGTTATTCAATATAATTAGAAATGTGCTTATAAAGGTACATCAGCGATGTTATTTGACAATTTAAATTTAGATTAAAGGCTCTTTTAGAAGAACAATTCCAAGATATTTCCTAATGTCATGCTTGCTTCGGGAGCACATATACTAAAATTGGAACAATACAGAGAAGATGAGACTGGGCCCTGCTCAAGGCCCTGCTCACGCAAATTCATGAAGCATTCCGTGTTTTTGTCTCTAGTTTTATAAACATATATGTATTCAAAATAAAAAAAAAAGACATTTCAAATGTTGTTTATGGTAAAGATGAACAATGTCCTGCCAGGTTTTCTCTTTGTTTGGAAGGAAGTCCGAGCTGGGCTCTGTGCAGTCTTCTTACACTAACAAGAGCCTCAAGGTAACATTTCATCTTCTCTCACAGCCCCTCCCAGTGAAAACTGCCCCTTTCAGTCATATTCAGAAACTTTCAATTTCCTAAACTATTCTTGTTTATTATCTCTTGATCATTGCCCTTGAAAAGTTTATCGTCTCTGGAATGTGTTTTCTTGCCATCTCCACATTTAAAATTCTACACGTCCTTCAAGTATATGTCCCAAATCCAATTTCCATGATGTTCGAAGTGACTTTTTAAAATCCAGGATGTGTTTTACAAGCTCTTTCATTGTTTTTTAAAATGCTATTTGCTCCCATGCAAAACTTAACACTTTTAGCTCTGCAGAAAATCATATCATTTTCAATTCATTCTGCAATGTCACCAGAAAGTGGACATTCTGCTTTCCTTGAATAGTCTCTGTAGTAAGGAACATCTGATGCCTTGAAGCAGGCTGTTTCAGTTTGGGAAACCTCGAATTTCTAGTTCTTCCATATATAGAGCTGAAACTTGTTTTTGAATAAATTTTAACCGTTGGTCATAAATTGGCCTTTACACATGGGTATAAGTAAATACTGTATAACTCGTTATTTATTCATTAGACCATAGATTGGTTCGTGTTTATTGAAAAAATGATGTCATGATGTTATAAAGCTAACATTTAGAGGGAGAGATATTCTCATGTCTGTTAGATAATAAGGTCTTTGCAGACAAGCATGAGGCCTAATATCTTTTTCTGTTGCCTAACAAAGTAGAGAGCAGGAAACAGAAAGTCCTTGGATGTGGATTATGAAAAACGTGATTTTCTGCTGATTAGAAGAAGTGAGTGAGTGGTCCCTCTCATGGGCTTTGTAAGTACTGAAGATGTCAGGGGGTCCCCCTGATGATGGGGCAGAAGTTGGTGGCTGAGTCTGTGACCTGCAGGGAGCTAAACATGCTCTTACCCTTGGGGCTCTTACCCTTGCTTTCTGCTTTATGTCTGTAATACTGAAAATTACAAGGATGAGTTCATTCGTAGCGCTGTGTCTGAGGCATAAAATCGAATAAACCTTGTGTAACTGCCATTAAAAATAGAAACCTGTCTTTCCTGGACACGAGTCTGGGGATTCGGTTCCACTGTCTGTTCAAAGGTAAACAGCTACAGACAGTCAGGCCTCAGCTCTGCAGCTATTAAAATGATTCATTTTATTGTCCCAGCTTCCCAGGAACACCTTAAAAAGTCACCTGGCACTTACTCTCCTTGCAGTCTTTTTGGGAATACCATTTACAT